TCGATGGGTCAAGGCCTCATGCTTCGAGTTGTGAGGCAATCCAGAGACAAGAACGATTTGGTTCCAGAGGTCATGCTTTGTCTTTGCCAAGTTGAATAAAGCAGTTCGACTGCACGCAGGTTTGGGTTTTTAGGTGAGTTCCGTGCATCCAATCCATTTGTAGCAGAATTTCCACATATATAGGGGTAAGACTCGGATTAGAGATTATATAGAAGCACCCCCAACCCCCTTCTGTTTCCTTCCTTCGAGTTGGTCCGCTCACTGGAAAGTTAGGTCAACAGAAAGGTTCCATCCTCCAAGGAATATCGTAGAACAGCCGAAAGGCGATGACATTCCTTGTGGCAAGAGTCGACCTCTAGGGTATCGAGGAAGGTTGGAGAATATAGGTTACAGAGTTCATCAGTCAAAGTCTCAGAAGAGAGACTCCTACGCCATCCATTCTTCCAGTATGAACCAGTTAAAGAGCATACATCGTAGAAGACGGAACTAACTTTTCCCCTTTCCTTAGAGTCAAGTGGCCCAAGGGCCCCCTTTCTTTGCCCCTTGGTTCGCTAGCTGACTTGCCAGCGCTTGGATTCTCGAACTCTAAGAGCGGATTTCTGGAATTTGTTCACATCCGATTTGATGGCATCTGTCCGCTTTCTACCCTTTGCAAGCGTGCTACTGACTCGATGGACAAAGTCAAGGAACTGCTTTGCCTCGTCATTGACTTGGATCACATCATCCTGAACATTTGATCCTATGTCGTCCAGCTTTCTTGGTGCTGTGGGTCTCAGTCTTCTAATGTCAGCTCTCTGGCAGGCCAATCGATCTCTGCTTGATTGGCCCTAAATGCATGATCGATCTGACGAAGATTCCCATGTAGATCTATGAAAAGCCGAACCAAATGGGAATCCTAGGTATAGGATAGGGTGGGAGGGATGAGAGAGCAAGCTGGCGTGGGGGGCAAAGGTAAGAACATCCGAGCAAAGCAAGCCCGGCAGGGTATGATGAAAAGCTCTCACCAGGATTGTCTTTCCAGATCGATTGATCAACATTTCCCTCTTTGTGATAGCTCAGAAGCGTTCTAAATACTTTTCGACAAGGAGAGAGTTCCAACAAAAACGTGATCTTCTGCAACGGAAGCTAACGTGGATGTTCCACCGGCACCGGGGTTCGAAGGTCACGATCATCGGAGCAATCAACGGAGTCTTTCCTTCTGTAACGGGGGAAATCCCTTATTCTAAGGAAATCTTTTTGGTAAGAAAGCCTGTCCTAGAACGAAGCCTGCCCGCAAAAACTCTGGTTAAGTGCCCTCCACCGCAACCGACATAACATAAAGAAAGAAGGAACCGGTCCCCATGGTCGCCTTCGTTCGTAAGGTAAAAACGAATAGACATTCTTGTCTTGGCCCAGGTGACGCACATGACCGGTCAAGAAAGTTCTTATTTTTTGATTTCGCTTTCGCTACGGCTACAGTCAAGTGGCTCCCCCTTTACAAGACTCCCTCCCACCAGAAGAAAGATTGATCGCTTTCGGTAACCCAGGGCTCCATTGCGTGTGCTCGAGGTAGAAGTTTTTTTTTAGAAAGATGTGAATGGGAAAAAATTTTGACTACCGGTAGCGAATGCTTTTGAAAAGATTTGAAGGTAGAAGGCTGTTTCCGTCTAGCTCCGGAAGCATTGTCTGAAGTAATAAGAAGAGGGAAGTGACCACTCTGAAGTTCTTTTTCTTTGATTCCAATGACCGATATCGTACAAGACGGAAGTCATGAGCGATAGCGAAGATAGGTATAGGTCTTAGATTAGAGTGCCAGTGCCCCTCGGGAAAAAGGAAACCTAGCTATTCTTTTTGTTCTTAAGTAAGTATAAGAGCAACATTTAGGAAGGATTAGAGAAGAACTTGCTCCAGCGGTGCAAGAGTCAGCGCTGGTACTCTTTCTAGAGATTGGGATAGTGTTCAATCATCCGGTGCTCTTGCCGGTCTTGGTGGTAGGGCAGTAGGTCGCTAAGAAGCTA